AAAATAAGGGAAAGAGGCCACGTAGGAAATAATTTTAAGAAGGCGGGTCATGGTGGAGCAGAAAGAGCATGGAGTCAGATGGGCCCGGATTTGCACACTAGCTACACAACCTAGTGGCCACATGTCTCTGAGAGAGTTGTTCGGCCTCCCTGAGCCTGTATTTCCTCAACTATAGAACGAAGACAATACTCTAAGAAGGTTGTGATGACTTACTCAAAAACGTTACTTTCAAAAATAATAATCATAATAGGTAACGTACAGCTTACATTTCAGTGGATTGCCTGTCACAGTAGCACGTAGGGAGCATAACTACAGCTGCAGCAAAGCTGACTCCTTAAAGTTACTTGAGCACATGTGACTGAACCACTGTGAAGTCCAGTAATCTCCCTATTGCTTGAAAATGGTCTTTTATCAAGCAGTGTTGCAATCAGTAAAATATAATTTCATAATGTACTGTATGAGTGGACTTCAGTAAAAATTATTTAAGGAAAACTACTCAAGCAAGTCTCTATAGCCATTATATTTTTTCTAAGGCCTCAGCCAGAAAACTGAAGCCTACTCCACCACGGCCACGGAGCCTCCATGAAAGGATCCTGGAAGAAATCAAAGCAGAAAGAAAGCTGCGGCCTGTGTCACCAGAGGAAACCAGACGTGGCAGGTTAGGTGAGTCCGGGGCGTCACTGGAAGACAGCACAGCAGCCCAGTGAGAGACTGCCGTCTGCAGGGCTCTCTCCCACTCACACACACACACACACCCCCTCACGCTGGAAGTCTATACTTGAGAGTCATGGAATAGGAAATTATTGCCCCGTGATGCTGAGTGTAGGAGAGCACCGCGCTGCATAGTGGACAGAGCTCTGCCAACCTCTAGGCTGTGGGTTCAGGACAGTCTCTTCACCTCTGTAAGCATCGATTTCTTCGTCAGCAGAAGGGGGATAAAAAGTCCTCTACACCTTCATTATGACTTTCATGTAAGAATTAAATAGGGTCATGGTCAAAATACTTTATAAATTGTAATACATATACATGGATAAGTTATTACGTTTTAGAAATATAAGTGATACATAGTTTTACTTCAGGTTTCTATTGTCTTAATTATGGTTTGAAGATATGGTATTATGTGATAAGAGACTCAATTATTACTGATATCACTTAACTTATTACGTTCCTTTATATTTATTATGTTTAATATTTTTTATAAGCACACATTGATTTTCATTTAGAGCAAAACCATATTATAAAATGTAAACATTTTTGTTGATGCAGCTGTCCTCCAATTTGTAAGATTAAAGATGCCCAGGGCCTCCCTGGTGGCGCAGTGGTTGAGAGTCCGCCTGCCGATGCAGGGGATACGGGTTCGTGCCCCGGTCTGGGAGGATCCCACATGCCGTGTAGCGGCTGGGCCCGTGAGCCGTGGCCGCTGAGCTTGCGCGTCCGGCAACGAGAAAGGCCACGACAGTGAGAGGCCCACATATCGCAAAAAAAAAAAAAAAAAAAAAAAAAGATGCCCGAAGAATTCAGGGAAACAGTCTTGTGGTGCCTGAACAGGACAGGAGCCGGCCCTGTGGCACTGTCTCCTGGTTCTCTCCTCCGACCTCTTCTGCCTCTTTCAAGCCCTGCTTAGTCGTCTGGTTTCTATCCCCGGCTCCCTCTCCCTGAGCAACCACATCCTCCTCCAGGGTTTGTTTCTGGTTTCCTCAGCTCCCGCCCTACAGCGCAGGTTTCTCTGAAAGTTTAGACCCACACGTGCAGCCGTCTGCTGAGCAGGGCCTCCTTGCCCCTCATGCAGGACAAGCCCCGCAGCCAAGCGGTGACCTCGCCTGCTTTCTCCTCCAGCTGTCTCCTCCTGGTTCCCCATCTCAGAGCCCAGGACAGATTGCTCAGCATCACCTCTGACTCTTACTCAACAGCCAAGCCCTGTGGGTTTTACTTCTAGGTCTCTCTAGTCCTCCCCCCTCTGACCTAGGCTCTCTTCTCCGTCTGGTCAGTCACATCCACTTCAGCAGCTCTCCCTGTCTCCCATGACTCTCAGTCACTGCATGCTGATGTTCTTTTGTTTGACTTTTGGCCATTCTGTCACACCGTGGCCTCCGTGGCAGCAGGGCCCACGTCTGTCTTGTTGGTTGTTTTGTCCTGGTCTCCACTGCAGGGACAGTGATGACAAGTACTCCCAGAGGTGTTGAAATAATAGCACGTACCTTCCATGTACAGAGCTTCAGAGTGAGGGCAGGCTGTGTGAATTTATCTCTGATTTTTATGGCAGCAAGTGTTTCCCTTTAAAATGATGTTTAAAACAAATCCATATGAGCATTTACATAATAATGAGCCAGAACATATACACGACATAAATGGAGAGTTCTTATTCTGGGAGTCCTTGCATGAGCCTAAGGACGGTCTGTGAATCCCTTGAAATATAACAAATTTGTATGTATTTCCTAAAGTGTATGTATGTGCATTTTCTGGAGAGGGGGTTCATAGCTTTGCTCAGATTCCTAGAGGGTCCACAGCCTCAAAGAGTAAGAACCACTATGGAAAAATAAGGAAACGGTGTTACAGGACGGCTGCTTAAGACTGGATTTTTTAAAATTACTGTACTTTGAGAAGGAATAATGGGGTAATAGAAAAGATTTCAACAAAATTATAAGGCAAAACAAATATATTACCATGAGAAAAGTAAGCTTCATGATTTTCAGGAGAAAAGAGGAGGGATTATAAACTCCAGTGTAAGTACCAACAGGACAGAGAAAGGAACAAGACAGACGTAACGTGCTTGTGTGATTTGGATGATATTTGACATAAGGTTCCTTCATTTTTCCAAGTGTTTATTAAACAGCCGTGTCAGCTGTTGGAGTAGAGAGATGAGCAGTCAGAGTCCCTGCCCACAGGCGCTGACAGAGGAAAGGCTCGGGGCAGCAGGTACATGTTCCCCCTGCAGCACCGACAGCAGCCTGTCAGGGGCATGGGGGTGGCCGTTCAGGACACCAGCAGTCCTTGTGGGTGGCAACGGGACACCGCACGTTGCATAGAAGGGGCATCACATGCCCTTGTCATATACATATTCTTCTGTTTCATTTTCAACAAGTTAGATGCTAACTAGCAGGAAATCTACTTTAGAATAACTAAATATCAGTTTTCTGTATAGTATATCTTATTTTATTTTAACCTTATGAATTGGTGTTTCACAACAACCAGAATTGAGCTGTTATTGAAAGTGATTGTTCTATGAGAATCTTACTTTTAAAATTGATCTTGCATCTTAATTGGAAAGTAAGAGATTTGGGCTCTTCTTTCTGCAGACCTACATTGGTTCTTACTATAAAGTTTCCCTTGGGGAGTTTGGGTAAAGTTGGCAGAATTATCTTGAAGAAAAGTTCCCTAAATAGTTTTAAAACCTTACCCCTCCATGTAATTGCAAGTAGAAACCCACTGTAGAAATTGGGGAAATGTTTAAAGAAGAACTGTTACCCATAGTTTCACCAGCAGAGGCATGCGCTGTGATGGAGCTTGTGCGTCATGAGGTGGAGACAAGAGCTGTGTGCACAGTGTCTGATGTCCCCATGTAACGTTGTGTGGGGCAGGAAATCTTCCCACATCGTTAAATATGCCCCACAGCATTATTTATAAGGACGTGATTACTAACACATGGCTAAGTTGTCTTTTACTCGCCTATTTCCCTATTGTTTTACAGGCTAGCTCCATTTTTTTCCTGTTAAGTCTGAAATTAGTATTCTTTTGCATCAGTCTTTGATCATATCTTATCATTTTCTTTTTCCCAACACCTTTTCTAACATCTCATACTATGAGATTTGGGGTTGTAAATGTAAATTGTTCCTTTAAAAACATCTGCCAAAAGCATATGGAGAGATACTTTCATTCTGTTAAATTTGGGTGTTAGAACTGTATGGGGGCTGCCTCGGAAACATGAGCTGGGGGCACATTGTGCCTGACAAGCCTGTGGACCTGCGGTTCTCTCCTCTTCCGACCACACAGCCACCTGTCCTCCCTGACCTGGGGCATAGGATGGATGGGGCTACAGTGGAAATAGGTAATTCTCATTCTTATGAATACCCAAATTCATCAAACCTTGGTAATAATCAGCTTTATTGAGATATACTTTACCTACCATAAAATTCACCCATTTAAAATATACAATTCAGTGTTTTTTAGTATATGTAATAAAATTTTTAAAACAAATGATTTCAACAGGAAAGAAATAAGTTTATTCATAGGAGATTGTATTTATTTAACTTCTACTATGTGCTAAGCACTATTCTGAGCACCTTTTTTTGTATGGAATCATTTAATTTTTATAACAATTCCATGAAATAGGTACTATTATTCCCATTTTACAGATGAAGTAACTGAAGCACAGAGAGGTTAAGTAACTCGCCCGGAATCACACTGCTAGTAAGTGGCAGAGCTGAGGTTCAGACTCAGGCTCTCTGGCTCCTGAGGCCTCGCTTCAACTGCCAGGTTACACTGCCTACAATAGAGAATTAGTGATACTTTGTGATGCTGGTAGTACCTGAATGAGATTTTTGATAAGATGTTTCACCTGTATGCAGAGAGCCACATTTTCATCCTGAAATTATTTAAGAATACATTTGTTGTTAAATTTTAAAGATTTTGTATGTTCCATAAAATCATGTTTTAAAACATGGCTAGTTTTTTCTTTTGAACTCTTTTATGTTTAAGTATAAAGTCCTGTACTATGATTCTAAAATGTTTGTATCTTTAACATGCTTTCATTTTTAACATGTTCTTTAAAAGTTATCTGTTTTCTTTTATTGTTACTCCATTTCAAGTCTTAGTAATATAATTAAAACTAAGACTCATGGTTTTATTGTATTTCAGATTGTTATTCACTGCCTTCTGCCTTAAAGTGTGAAATGTGCCACCACAAGTCTTGAACCCTCCTCCCTTTTTCATCTTCCCTGTATATCCTAACAGCTGAATTATTTTCTTTTTATTGTTTGTTTTCTTTTTTCAGCAATGCGGCCACTTAGCATGTCTTACAGTTTTGACTTGTCAGGTAAAAAAAAAAAGCACTTCCACACCTGACGTGGGTTTTGTGGTCTCTGTGAAATACATTTCATTCATCTGCTTGTTCAAACACGTCAAAAAAGAAAATTGAAAGGCTTCTTCTAGGCTGTGGTCAGTCAAATAAAACATTCTGTTTCTTTGAAAATAGTATACTTAAAAAAAATTAAAACTAATAAATCTGTTGCCTTGCAAGAGCCTGTGGAAGAACCGTGACACTTGTGGTCATGGAACACAGTGCCCAGCCCACCCCCAATCTCATAAAGCAGCGGTCAGAGTCTAACAGAACTCTGCCTTCAGAGCATAGAAAACAAAGAAGCAAAGTTTTGACACTTCTTACTCTCTAAAGCACTCAGTTATTCAGGTAGCTGAACTCAGAACTGTCAGCTGCTTCAGAGGACGACTGCTTCTCAGTTGAGGGGCAAGAGCTATCTGCGTACCCAGTGTTCCTGTGCGTAGGGCCTTGTCACGCTGGTTCTGTGTGCTGATTAAGAGTCTAAAAACACATGAGCATTGTAATGGCTTTGGTTGTAAAATATAATCATCTGTCCCGGGTTTGTAGGACACGTTTAGAGCCCTTCTGTTAAATAGACAGGGACTAATAGTGAAACAAGTAGCTATTAATGATTAAATTTGATCTGTAAAATCAGCCCCCCTTTTAAATTGAATTTTTAAATTATATATGAGCAAATTTTCAAAGCCAGCTTAGTCCCAATAAAATGTTTTGCACGTAAGAATTTTAGACTTTGGAAGCTGCTGTTTTGAATGTAAAATGAGATAAGATATTGGCACTAGTATTTCCTTCCAGAATTTTCTTTTACATGCCATGGAATTGTTGGCATATCTTACATACAAATTCATATTTAAAGAGCCAGAGAGTTCTAGTATCATGTTCTGTGAATATTTACTGAGTATCTTCCAGCTGCTAAAATAGTTCCCAACTGCTTTTTGAATTTCTGTGTATATTTGTAGTTCTCTTAGGCATGACTAATATTTGCACTTTCAAGAAACTCAGATAAATATGTTATAGTCTTCACTTACTACTTCTGACTGACCACTGAGGAGCTTTTTCTATTTTCTTTAGCCATTTGACAATTTTTATTTTATCAACCATTTGCAGAGTAACTTTGTAAAAAAAAAAGCTTGGTCTGGAAAATAAACTCAGAAATGTTTGAGAACATGTGTGTTACTGCTAATCTCCCAAAGTTGGCAACACATACTAAGATCCATCTCTTCTAAATATCTACTAAAGATGTTCCTCCCTGGCGGGCTCTCTGGGAGTGGCCGCTGCCTAAGCACACTGGCTGCTGGCTCCCGTGAAGTAGGCACAGGTGGCTGACCTGGATGGCGTGCATGCCCACACACATGTATGTAGGTGTGTTCGTGTCTTATAGGTTATATGATGGGTTCTTGTGTTGGGAAGAAAGCTCTTGGTGCTGAGCTTCCTCGATGTAAAGGAGCAACAAAAAATTTTGATTTGCTTTCACTGCTTATCATTTGCCATAATTTATTTTGTACCTTAGTGTACTTTGCAATTTCCACACGCTTCATTCTCGATTTCTTGTGTTTTCATTGTGTCATTTTGACTAACCAATTTAAATGTCCCAAATTATAAATGGAAAAGACTGATCTATTCTTCTAACCTAAATGCAAAGATCGGGATGCATTTCTTGTCTAAGTTGGGAAATTAGCTAACTAAGGAGTAAATATTTAAATGCGTAGTGTAGGTAATGCACGTAAGTGTAGAATAGGACACATTGAAGTATGTTCTGCTGCTCAGATATGTTTTAGAAATATTAATTCTTAGTGGAAAATGTTAATCCAGCCAACATTAATTAAGGTAAGTATAATTTATTTTTCTGATGCAAATATTAAATATACAATCTTTATTTCAGCCATATTTCCTCCAACTAAATAAGGCAGCAGCCTGGGTGTATCTAACAGATATAATTATTACACTATGTAATAATAGAAGTTATTACATAAGGTATTTAATATCATGGTTGTGTGTTTTAGATTCTGAACCTGAGGCATGTGACTTCCAAAGCTCTGTGTAGCATCTTAAATAGTTTGCTTACTTATAAATATCACCAGAAATTCTGTCTTATATAGAAGAAGTCTAAAGTCTTATCCAAGGGTTTGGTTTTCTCATCAGATACACTGAAGTGATAATGAGGATTCATTCATTTGAACAGAAAAATATAAGTAATCAAACTACTTAAAAATATCTCTTAAAAGTGTGTTCAACTGGGGCTTTTACAAATATACAGTATTAGATAAAATCACACACAATATTTAGTCTTGCATACGGAGATCATCCTGAAGCCTGACTGGGACAGAACATATTCTTCTATTAATTCCATTTATCCCAAAGCTTTGAATTGAGTACTAGGTGTTTATTTCAGTAGTTTGAGTCAGCGAGCTCAGGTACAGTTACCAACCTCAGCAGAGTCTTCAGGCAGTTAGAGAGCTATTGGGTAATTTCTCAGATCCCTTGCATTGAGAATGAAGTTAGCTCATGGCAGCCACTGTCACTTAACAGTGTTCCCTAAACTTCAGTGCAGATATCACCCTCATGATTTTACCAGACTTAAGTGCCACCAGTACTGTTCAAACTTTTAAAATCTACCATAAATGACTTATAAAATTTTCGTAAGCAAAAACATCCATAAAATCATGTATCTGATATAGTAATTATATTTTTTCTGAAACATTAAAACTGTGTTAATGTTCCTCCACACACCACTGGTGACTTCACCCTTAAGGAAACTCTGGCTTGGACCTGTGAGACCCGCCTGGAGAAGCTCACTGTGTCTCCAGGCAGAGCCTCAGTTGGATGTGGATAGTTGGACCAGTGGGAGATACGTGTGCTTTTTCTTGGAAGACTGGCTGCCGCTACTGCGTGAACCTCTGGAGGAAGTGTGTAAAAAATGTGTGCTATAGAATATGATTTTTCAAAAGATACTTCAAGGCCATATTTAAACATTACCTTTTTTCTTGAATAGGAATTAATCAATTAGCCCAATCATTTCCTCCTTTGCTCTGTAGAAGACTTTTAAATTACGCTTGTAAGTGTGGCAGCCTACTGCTTTCTACACCTTATGAAAGGTTTATTTAAAGATTTTAATTTTGTAATTTGTACAAACTTTGTAATTTTGTAAAAACTTGCTGCTTTTGCCCTTTTGTCCCTTCAGCATACTCCATCCCCCAATCATATATTTGTTCTAGCTGCTTAATACCTGGAGAGGTAGTAACAAAATTAACTCATGTGTTGTCAACTCATGTGTTGTCAAGTTTTCTGTTAAACATTTTATGTAAAATGATAAATGACTTATGACAAGTCTGTCTTCTTCCTTTTTTCCTTTCCTCATTACTTTTTTGCTCACTCAAACCTTTCTAGTTCACAAGGGCAGTTCTAGTTCTGGCCTTGATATCTAAAAATATGCAGAAATTGTGAATATTAAGTTAGATATACATCATTTATAATAAATAATTCACATAATTCTTTTAAATAATGTCAAGGAAGGCTGTACTAGAACATATTTACATTCTGAATGTTACCTGGAAATCCACCTCTTCCACTTCAAGCATAAAACTATTACATGTTGGGGGGAGCTACTATAACTAAAACATTCTTGTATTTTATAGTTACTTCAGGTACAACGCTTCCCCCCACCCCCCACAAACAAGCATTAATTCTGACTTTTCAGTGCCCAGCATACCCTTTACCCCCAACCATGGGAGTTTCACAGACTGCTCCATGGGCAAAAACCAGGTTATGGGCTGGTCTGTGAGTTAAATCATGCAGGGACTGCTTTTTCTCACTTTTAAATACTCTAATTTAGTAGTTAGTTATTAAAATTATTAGTTATTGAAATACTGAAGAAAATTAGTTCCACTTGCATTGGAAGATTACAGGCTCCAGTACAAAAAAAGGTGGCCTTTTAGAATCAGTACCGACAAGGATTCCAGTGTCAGCTGTGCCGCGCTGGCTGTGTGACTGGCTAAATCACCCTTAGCCTTAGTTCACTCACTTACAAATGGAGATAAAAGTCAGTGTTAATAATTGCTAACATTCACTGTGCACTGCCTTTATTACACACACTAAAGTATTTTATATGCAGTTGTTAACTTATTTAATCCTCACAACAAGCCCATTTCTGTTGTTGGCCCCATTTTACAGTTGAGGAATGAAAGTTTAAGTAACTTGCTCAAGGTCAAACAACTAGAGCTAGACTTTGAATCCAAACCATCTGCATCTTAACTATACTGTATACTCTAAAGTTTATACATTATGCTACATACTCTTATTCTGTACTCTGTTCACTGTACTCCATACTGTATGCTCTGTGTTCTGTAGTCTGTACTCTGTACTCCATGCTCTGTGCTGCCACATTTCTTTCACTGCCTTCCCATCCAGATTTGAGCTTTGGAAAATCAAAATCAGCTTTATCAGAGGAAATGTATCTCAGAGTCTTTGTGTTCATGTTTATATGCATATAGATTATTAGTTATTTTTACTTTAAAATCAAACCACTTTCAGATCTTACAGCCATATGTGCATGCCATCACTCTGATCCATCGATCAGTAGCTCTTTTGAGGCTAAAAGGAAAGTTAGCCTCTCTGGGCCTCTGGAAAATAGAGAAGTTGGAGTCAGTTATCTGTAGTATTTCTTCTAGCTCTAAATTTTTATCTACAAGTGTGAATATATAATTATTCATTTAAAGGTTTCCTTTATTTGAATCTGACAGTTAATGTCAACACAAGTGTTGTATATGCATAGGTGTTACTGTATCTAGCCTCTGTGTTGTATTTGCATGACGTAGAAATGCCGTATCACCTTGGGTGTGATTCCAAGTGCAGGTACTTGGAAAAGTGTGTTTGGTTCACTGATTACCTTTCTGTGCTCAAGAAGAGCTAAGCTTTCACCTTTGTTTTACCAGAGGTAGCTACCCCTGAATCTCCAAAGAATGTCCTGGAATCATCGATGGTGAATGGAGGTTTAACGTCACAATCAAAAGAAAATGGGGCAGGTGCCGTACAGCAGGTGCCTGTGCAGCGGAAGAAACTCCTCAAAGCCCCAACTCTGGCCGAGCTGGACAGCTCTGACTCGGAGGTGAGGCCCCACGGCCCCCCATGTCCCGATTCGGGGTCAGGAGGCGAGCGCCCTCCAACCGGTCCTCGTGTTGCTCCAGCTGTTACTTAATCTCTTCCCATTTTTCAGTCAATTAAAGTTAGGTTTAAAATTCATTCATTTAGCAGGAAATGAAACTGGATTACATACTGTTATTTAATAAAGGCCAATATAGTGGCTGTAGTTTATAGAATAACTTGTGACATACATACGTAGTCTTATATTACAGTGGGGTTAAAATAAGTCAACAGTTTTCAAACCTATATTTTCTTAAATATGTTTCCCTTCGTTTTGGGGAAGGAAAAAGAGAAACATCTTCATAGATTCTTCCCTCTCTAGAACACACACACACACACACACACATACACACACACACACACACATCCATACTGAAGCTTCTTCTTTCTGTAATAGTAACACCAACAGACAAGTCCCCCAACACTGTGCCCATGCCCTGCGGATCCTTCCTGTTCCTGATGTGGGTGCTCCCAGGTCTCTGCAAGCCTCTGTCTGCAGTGTCACTATTGTATGTCTCCACTACCCGACCCTCAAAGTCAGCTTATATAAAATGAAATGATTACCCCGCCCCCTGCCAAACCATGCCACACACAGCAGGCTTCTAGTCTCCTGTCTGCTGTCTCGGTTGCTGGCTCCATTCTCTCCTCATTCATCCAAGTTAGAACTTGAGGAGTTATTCTCTTATAACACCCTCACCCGTCTCCACACCTCATCCAGCAATATCAGTAATAACAATTTTGCCACTAAATGTTTTTCAAACTTCAAGAATAGTAAAGAAGTATTCTTATTACTGCCCAATTCAGTGCATGCGCTCTCTCATCAGTCATATCTTATCTTCCTTCTTCCTAGCTTCCCTGATTCCATATTGCAAATACCACTAGGGTCTTTGTCTTTGAAACCTTTTGAAGGCTTCCTGCCACTTACAGGACTAAGCTCTTGTCCCTGAAGAAGCTGTGTCAGAGCCTGTGCCATCTGGTGCCTGTAACATCACTCTGCCTCAGTTTACCCTTCAGCCCCACTGGGTCCCTTGTTCTTTCCTGCTTACTCCCTGTTGCTCCGCTCTGTGCATCTGCGTGCAGCCTACACCCAGCTCCTTTCCGATTCCATAATAACCCTCTGATCCGTCTGTTGTGTTAGAGCACTTGACCCTTTGTAATATAATTATCCATTTTTTTCTCTCTCTCACCAAGTGCAAGCTCCCAGGAGGGAAGGTGCGGAATTCACCTTATATTCCCAGGTCCTAATCCCCAGCAGACACTCACGTATTTAAAGAAATTCATGCTAACCTGTGAGAACAACAGTTTAAAATTAAAAGAAGATCTAGTGGTTAGCCACTAGAACTGTGATGATTGAAATGTAAATTATATTAAATTTAAAACTCAGTTCACTGAGTTCTCACGTGTGGCTGGAGGTGACCAAGCTGGACGGTGCTGACACCAGTGCCGCCCTTGCAGAGTCTGCTGGGAGCACCTGTGTCCGGTGCAGGGAGCGTGCCATCCCGTGTCCAGGACCCCCTTCCTGTCCTTTCTTCATCCTTCACTGCCGAGCTAGAATGCCCAGGCCATGAGGAGGACAGTGGGCGGCCTCCGCAGTTGTCTTAGTTTTCCTCTTCGTGAAAATATTGTGCTGATGCCCTAAATCCAGATCTTGAGATGATTTGCTAGACACAGTTCTCTTAATCAGAGCGAGGCTGTGTTTGCGTGCCTGCCCATTAGTTAGAAAGGAAGTGTGAAATACGGTGCTGAGAAGTGTTGAGCCTGGTCTTTGTCTGGCTGCTGGTCCAGGCCCGGGCAGTCATGGCTCCCATGATTGGGAGTAAGGTGGGGACCTCTGATTTCTGGAACAGGGAATGGTCCTGGGCCAGGACTGGAGCAAGCACACCCCTCTGTCCTCTTCCCTTACAGCTGATGCTCTAAAGTACTAAGGAGGGGCAGGGCAAAGATGCTGAATGTGAGAATGCCTTACATTCCTTTTTTTTTTAAACTTCTGAATATAGATTTTTTTTTTTTTTTTTTTTTTGTGGTACCTGGGCCTCTCACTGCTGTGGCCTCTCCTGTTGCGGAGCACAGGCTCCGAACGCGCAGGCTCAGCAGCCATGGCTCACAGGCCCAGCCGCTCTGCGGCATGTGGGATCTTCCCAGACCGGGGCACAAACCCGTGTCCCCTGCATCGGCAGGCAGACTCTCAACCACTGCGCCACCAGGGAAGCCGTGAATATAGAATTTTAAAACTTCTAAATATGTTCAAACTTTAAAATTTAGAAAACACAGATGAGCAGAAGCCTTTAATTTTAAACAGCTATATTTCAAACTTGGGCTTTGTGATAATCAAAGTTTCAGTAGAGGTTTTTTTTGTTGTTTTGTTTTGTTTTTTGGTGCCCTCTCTGAGGCTCCATAGGGTTTCTTTTGATGAAACTCAGCTTTAATTTAATTGTGGTAGATTAGTTGTGTTCATCCTAAAAAGCTTTCTTAACGTTAGCCTCTTTAAGATTATCTACCGACTGGTTGAAGCCAACTCAGAAAAATGTCTCTTGTAAAGCCTGACAATTAACCGATGTTTCTATAGACATGAACGAAGCACCTTGAAACTCAAGCCGGGTTTCCTTACAGTGTGAGTTAGTGAGGAACGTGCCGTGGGCTCTGGCTCTGCTTTGTGGACAGGACACGAAGACAGGTCCCTTTGTGTCAGCCTCCACCGTGTCCTCCATCTGAGGTCTCCTTCAGCTCCAGAATGTGGCAGTCCTGCCCATAAATATGAAAGCGGAAAAGAGGCTGAGGAGTCCTGCCTTCTCTAAATTGATGGATGGGTGTTCTTTTCCCCACCTTAATGCATTCCTGATGTCAGGGAATTCCTAAACCAAGATTGATTTATCTCTGGTCCTATTTGCTCACTTATAAAAATGGCCACAGATACTAAGATATATCCCACATCACATTGCACAGTGTCTTCATTCACATTTTATAATAATGTTTTTTCACACTTTTTTCTTTAACTCTTCTCCTATTTTTCCTTTTTGCCAACTTCTTTTTTTCCCAATGCCTCTCCATTTTTTCCATTCATATATTTACCAGATGCCTTCAGTAAGCAGTAAAGGGACAGCAGTGCGATAGGCTTTGTCCCCTTGCTCATAATCCAAATGGGAAATACGAAGCATACACTGAGTCATTACATGTTTTTGGTGAGTGCTCGCAGCCTGCCAGGCACCTTTTGAGCCACCCTGTGTGATGCCACCAGGGGGCCGGGGGCTGGAGAAGCCTCAGGGAGAGGGAGGACCTGGGCTGAGGAGTCAGGTGAGGAGAGCAGTGGGCAGACGGCTTCTGCTGTTTGTGGCACGTGCCATGCCAGGTCACAGCCGGTCTCCTGTTTCTCCCCTACTGGCCTGGACTTCCCCTGGGGGTGGAGGAGCGGACTGACCCTCTCTGACAAGCCTCTCTGACTTGTCTAAAGCATTCCTGGTGGAGGTTGCACAGGAACAAAGACTAAGACTCAGGCCTGTAGTGGGAGGACAGTGGAGGCCAAATAAAGAAGCAGCTCAGAAAAGGCTGGTCTTATTCTTTTCTTCCATCCCCTCAATTTTATTACCACTTCCCCATTTTTCCTCCTTCCCTCCCATTTACTGAGTGGCTTCCAAAATTTTTTTTTAAGGACCAAAACTTTTTCTTCCCATCAAAGCTGTAGAAGTACAAGGCGGGCCAGCTAGAAATGGAGGCAGGGCTAGGCTCTGCCCTCCACTCCCTACCCCGCCACCTCCCCATCTTCATGCCTTTTCCATTCTCAGAGGAAGTGTCCCCTAGGAAGTCCCAGCACGCCTGACACTGAGCTCATCCCTCTGCGGACGGGGCACCGTACTCACTCCTGGAGGAAGTGCTTCTGTGCACGATCACACGTCTCCTGCTGGCCTTGCAGTCTCTCCACCGGAGGTTTTTCCCTCAGGTTTAAGAAATACCTTCCAGGGGAATTCTCTGGTGGTCCAGTGGTTAGGACTGCAGGCTCTCACTGCTGAGGGCCTGGGTTCAATCCCTGGTTGGGGAACTAAGATCCTACAAGCCATGCAGCACGGCCAAAAACAAAAATAAAAACAGACCAGAAAAACCCTTCCAGCCACCAGAATACCGACTGTATGGTGAACTCGTTTGTACATGATCTCATTTAATTTTCTCTTCCACAGAGACTTCATACTAAGAGGTAACTGCCACCATTCCAGGGTAGCAGCTCTGCTCACCTCTGCAGACATATTTCATTTAACTCCATTGTGCACCAGAAAGATCCTGTTGCCCCTTGCTGTCTTTGAGGTTAACTTAAAGTTGGGCCCAAATTATCACAAAGAGCAGGTTCCTGTCTAAATATTCCCCATTGAGTAGTGAATTTCCCTGTAAAGAGTCAATATATTATTATAAGTCAGATATTCTTATGAAATGGATATTAATGGATTATTTACTTTATCAACATAAACTCAGCTGCTTTATGTAGAAAGAAAAACTCCTTAATCCTGTTCAGAGCCATGAGGTGATGACTTGCCCTCAGTCTTCTTAATGCCGTGTGTCCTTTGTTCCATCAAGGAAATTCATTTTCTTCCTTTCTGTCAAGTGAGACCTCCAGTTGCAGAACCAGTAAAGGGATTTTTTTTTTCTCTTAGATTTACTCAGCAGCTTTGTGCATTTAAATTATAATAGTTAAATAATCAGCATTAACTACAAGCTTGAATTGATGTCCTTAAAAGTTTTTAGTTGTGAAACTGGGCTATTGGTAGTGACCCAGAGACTTTATACCCTGCTTGAGGCTGTAGATATAGGTTATGTAATCTACCATTTTGCCAGAACTGGAACTAACCCATGTTTTTTACTTAACAAAATATTATGAGCATTTTCCCATCTGATTAATCCTTTTTCAACATGATGCCAAATATCTGTGTGGTATTCTATCATAATAATTTGCCATATTTAACCAGTCCCCTGTTTTTGAACATTTAAGCTGTTACCAGTTTTCTGTTATTATAAATAACAATAATATTGTGAACATCCTTATGATACATTTTTGCTTTGAATTATTTTTCAGGATATTTCTAGAAGAATGTTTGCTAGGTGAAAGAATGTACATATTTATAGCTTTTGATACATATTGCCAAGTTCCTTAAAGAAAGCTCTAATATCTACTTTTTATTGAGCCAACTCTATGTTATACTTTAGGTATTATAAATTGATCAGACCCTAGAAGTAGCTATGATTCTTATATAAAAGATAAGGAAACAGACACACAGAAAGGTGTTGTCTTTGAACTAAGATTGTTAAAGAGTAAATTATAGAGATGGATTTGAAACCCAAGTCTAACTCCAAAATCTGCATATCTCATAAACTTTGTAGTATTCCAACTAGCAGTATATGAGAATGCTTGAATTTAAAATAACTTAAACTGGAAAGGGGCTTAGAAATCTTGTTCAACATCATTACTTTTCAGTGAGAAAAGTGAGCCTCTAGTAGAGATAGAGACCAACTTTAGAAAGTCACAACTTTTCAGTAGCAGAATCCCTGCTAAACCAGACCTCCCAACACCAGATCTTTTTCCATCACTTTTTTTTTCTCTTCCTAAAACTCTAAACCTCAGTGTTTCTTGCTTATCTTTAATAACCTCTGCTAGCCTGTCCCAGGTAATGTTTTAAAAGTCAGGATAAGCTTTGATTGGAGCTATATCAAAGCTTTCAGTAGGAAAACTTAGCAAAAGGAGCTGTATCTGTGCCTTCACTGGGATTCTTTTCAGGAAGAAGGAGATTTTTCTTCCTGTTAAGTGAGTTAGGTGCCCAGGCTGGCATCTGAGACGATTCTGGCAGCCTTCAGTGGCAGCGCCACCCCGGGAGCAAAGCTGCGGGACTTCTGACAGTGACCTCATTGCATCCAGGACCTGATTAAGAGTCACTGGTCAGGACATAGAACTAGAAAAGGCCTAACTTAGTGTCAGAGACTAGTAACTTGGATCAGACAATACAAATAAGCAAATTTCAGAAACCAGACCAGGCTGTAGAAAAGACTAATGTTAAGAGATGTCAGAGACCCATTGAAACACCTCAGCCAGGCAGAAAGTGTTTAGTCAATGGGAGTGGACATGACAGGGAAACCACACGCTCCCCAGTTCCTTTCTGGGTGTCTCCGTGACTCCTCTGGGGCAGGAACTAATCCTGGTGAAGATTAGTTTTCTTTCTTTCTTCCTTTCTCTCTTTCTTTCTATGAAGTAAATACTTTATATATATAGTTGATGTATAATTTTATACGTTACAGGTGTAAAATACAGTAATTGACAATTTTTAAAGGTTATCCTCCATTTATACTCATTAAAAAATATTGGCTGTATTCCCCGTGTTGTACAATATATACTTGTAGTTTATTTTATTTTTAAATTTATTTATTTGGCTGCATTGGGTCTTCATTGCTGCTCGCGGGCTTTCTCTAGTTGTGGCGAGCAGGGACTACTACTCTTCATTGTGTTGCACAGGCTTCTCATTGTGGTGGCTTCTCTTGTTGCGGAGCACAGGCTCTAGGTGTGCAGGCTTCAGTAGTTGTGGCATGCGGGCTCAGTAGTTGTGGCACATGGGCTTCGTTGCTCCATGGCATGTGGGATCTTCCTGGACCAGGGCTTGAACCCGAGTCCCCTGCATTGGCAGGCGGATTCTTAACCACTGCGCCACCAGGGAAGCCCTTGTAGCTTATTTTATACATAGTAGTTTGTACCTCTTAATCCCCTACCCCTCTGTTGCCCCTCCCCCACTGCCTCTCACCACTGGTAATCACTAGTTTGTTCTCTATATCTGTGAGTTTGCTTCTTTTTTGTTATATTCACTAGTTTGTCATATTTTTTAGATTCCACATATAATTGAGATCATACAGTATTTGCCTTTCTCTGACTTATTTCACTCAGCACAGTGCCCTCCAAATCCATCCATGTTGCTGCAAATGGCATAGTTTTATTCTTTTTCATGGCTGAGTAATATTCCATTGTATGTATATGTGTGTTTGTGTGCGTGTATATATACCACATCTTCTTTAGCCACTCATCTATTGGTGGACAGTTAGGTTGCTTCCATATCTTGGCTACTGTAAATAATACTTCTGTGAACATTGGGGTCCATGTATCTTTCTGAATTAGTGTATTTGTTTTTTTCAGATACATACCCAGGAGTGGAATTTCTGGGTTATACGGTAGTTCTATTTTTAGTTTATTGAGAAATCACCATACTGTTTTTCACAGTAGCTAGACCAATTTACATTCTTGTCAGTAGTGTACCAGGGTTCCCTTTTCTCCACATCCTCTCCAGCATTTGTTATTTGTGGGGGTTTTTTTTGTTTTTTGATGATAGTGATTCTGACATCAAAATGACAGGTGTGAGGTGATAGCTCGTTGTGGTTTTGATTTGCATTTCCCTGATGATTAGCAGTGTTGAGCATCTTTTCATGTGCCTGTTGGCCACCTGCATTTCCTGTTTGGAAAAATGTTCAGTTCTTCTGCCCATTTAAAAATTTTTTTTTATGTTTAATAGTATGAATTTTTTATGTATGTTGGATATTAACCCCTTATCAGTCATACCATTTGCAAATATTTTTCCCCTTTAGTAGGTTGTCTTTTCATTTTGTCAGTGGTTTCCTTTGATGTGCAAAAGGAAGTTTAAGTTGAATTAGGTCCCATTTGTTTATTTTTGCTTTTATTTCCTGTTTTAAGAGACGGATCCAAAAAAATATTGCTACGATTTATGTCAAATACTGTTCTGCCTATGTTTTCCTCTGCATTTAGGTCTGTAATCCAGGTTGAGTTTATTTTTTTAACGGTAGGATTAGTTTCCAAGTAGTCTGAAAGTGGGTGCAGCTGCCTGAGGTGGGCATGCAGGGCCAGAGGACCAACCACAGCTTCTGGGAGCAAATCCCAAGAGGCCCTGAGCCACACCCTGTCCCTGCAATGGCCCTGCCTGCCCAGGACAGGCTCTTGGCTGTTCTCAGTGGGGGGATTTCAGACGAGTAGGTAGTGGGGTGCAAGGCATGGACATGTCTCAGACTTACATGAAATTAGGCTGTAAAAATGATTCTAGGGAAGGTTGGCTGAAATATGTGCAATGGGGATGGTTTCTGCTGTTTGTTTCTAGCTCCCACCTCATAACTACTGGAAAGTCCTGGTATGACTCCTTTTTTCTTTTCCTATGAGATACTCTTAGCTTTTATTTCCTTTTTGACCTTCCATAAGCAGAAGGGGATTATGCTAGTTCTTGCTGGCTTTTCTAGAGACTTGTGTGACCTCCAGCATGTCTGGGGTGAGTCTTTGCTTACGTTGCCTGACTTGTTCTTGGTGGTGAGTATCAAGAATGCGGAGGTTGCTGCTCAGACTGGCTTTGTTTGGACTGTGCGGTTTACAAGGCTTTCTTCTTCTCTTGTTCCTTGGCCAGATCCTTCGTAGTGAGGTGTGTTCAAAACCAATGCTTTCAGCAGTAGGTTTTAGGTAAAGCCAGTTTTTAGTGAATGGCTAATTCTTAAAGTCACCTTAACTAAGTAGGTCAGAGAGAATTTTCACTATTTGTTTCACATAGTCATAGATTAATATATTAACCTAACTTTCTTGTATATTTAAAAATATTTATCAGTTTTCTATACATATTATGGAAGTAAGTTGCCTTCTAGTTAATGTATATCCCCTGTCATGTAGTAAATAGTAAATTTTTCATGAATAAATATTATACTTTATTTTGGTATAATGTAAAACAAATTAAGAAGGTCTCTTCTCACTGGTAATAGGAATTTAAACTTTGTTTGGCACAATGCAGACATTTTTCTAGATTCATATGACATTTCATGAGATATTTGTTTTCATTCATTCAACAAATATTTATTCATTACTTAGTAAGTGATAGATTTGGTACTAGGTAACAATGAGGAACAAGATACACCACATCTACCCTTGTGGGGTTCCAAGTCTATTACTTTTATAAGTGTGTTAAATACTCCACTAATGATAATATTGATCACCATTTCTTGTGTGCTAGGTAATGTGGTAAGCATTTAAAATGTGTTCTCAGATCTGTCCTTGTAGTGACCTATGGAAATTATGAAACTAAGATAAGAAACTTGCTCAGTGTCACATCACTCTAATGAGGGACAAAGCCAGGGCACAGCCCAGACATGTCTAATTTTAGATCCCTTCTAGCTTGTCTCCAACTTGCCTTGAACCTTTGACATTAAAATTTTGTGCCTCATGTTAAATATTTATGAGTGAACATTATTAATTAGCATGAGATCTCTCTCTCTCTCTCTCTCTCTCTCTCTCTCTCTTTTGTCTGCCTATGCCTTTCTCAGGAAGAAACTCTGCCCAGGTCAGCCAGCAGCAGTGCATCTCCCTCCTTCCTTGAAGATCCCTTTCTGGAGGCTGTGTCCACAAGGAAGAGTGAGTATTTGTAGTACAAAGAACTAGTGTCAGACGCCTTAAAAAACATAACTTGACCTAAAAAAAGGGAATCCCGGGCTTCCCTGGTGGCGCAGTGGTTGAGAGTCCGCCTGCCGATGCAGGGGACACGGTTTCGTGCCCCAGTCCGGGAAGATCCCATGTGCTGCGGAGCGGCTGGGCCCGTGAGCCATGGCCGCTGAGCCTGCGCATCTGGAGCCTGTGCTCCGCAACGGGAGAGGCCACAACAGTGAGAGGCCCGCGTACCGCAAAAAAAAAAAAGGAATCCCAAAGTGCCTTGTTGTCATTTGGGGTAACTAGTTAATTAAAGAACTAACCCTGGAATTTCACTAGTCAGGAAGAGAAATATTGTTATTTTCCTAGAATGACATCATAAAGTAGGGCTAAATGGGCAATTGGGTCTCTGATTCTCACCTTATAACAAATCAGTCACCTTTGGGCTTACAGATAATAGTTGTAGGGAATAGGTCAACTGTCTGTATGTATTTTTTAGATTAATTACCTCCTTATCTAAATTTAAGCCAGAAGCTCTGAATAATCACACTTGTTATCATCCCCCCTACACCCCCCCCACACACACACACACACACACACACACACACACACACACACACACACACACACACACACACACACACACACACACCCTTACCCACGTACATGTATAGATAGTAAAAACACCTTTATAATTCTTCAGGCAATACAGAATCTAAAGTTAAGTGATTTTAAAAAATACTATTGGTAATCTTTTCATTTATAAGATCAAAATTATATATTAAAGGGGAGGATTCTGGGAAGATGGCAGAGTAGGAGGCACCGGAATTTGTCTTTCCACCTAGACAATAATTGCGGTGGTAGAATCTGTCTGATGTAATTATTTTTGGAACTCTGGAGTCTCTTGAATGCCTAAAACTTCCAGGGTTAATTTCAGTAGATTTCAGCTCATAGCACAGTGGCAGCTACTCATCCCCCACCCCCAACCACATGACAGGCAGCTGTGTGCTGTTCTTAGAGCAGCTTGCAGGAGCCAGGGTGGACAAAAAGGACCCTGTCCTCCAAATATTGGGGATCTGTCCTCTGATTGCTGATTACTGCTTCTGATTTCAAAAGTGCAAAGAGGCAGGCAGCCACTGTTGCCCTGTTCCTAGCTTCACCCCCTCCCCTCTAGCTGAAGTCATCTCCAGGGGATTTAAAGGGCTGGTGCCTTTCCCCCACCCCTTCATTTTTCAAGTTTCCCCTTTCGAGAGTGAAAAGCCTAGAACATTCAAAAACAACGGCATATGCATATGGGAGAATTAGAAATTGACTATGATTGCCCAGGCAGTGGCTCATAAAAGACCTGAGGAAATGTTAAGTTTACACCTCAGGCTGATCTTCAGAGATCAGCCTTCAACAGTAAGAAAAACAATAAACAAAAACAATAACCAAACCCTGGGGAAGGGGAAAATCTGACTTCCAGAGTTACCACATTGATAAATTCAAATGTTCAGTGTTCAACAAAAAATCACAAGGCATATAAAGAAACAGGAAAATATGGCTCATTCAGAAGAACAAAATAACAGAAACAGGTCCCAGAAAAAGACCTGATGACAGATATACTAGACAAAGACATTAAAACAACAATTTTAAAGATGCTCAAAGAAATAAAGGAAGATGTGAAGAAAGTTGAAAAAACAATGTGTGAACAAAATGGAAATATCAATAGAGAGAAAACCTAGAAAGAAACAAAAAAATTCTGGGGCTGAAAAGTACAATAACTGATATGAAAAGTTCACTAGAGGCATTCAAAGACAGATTTGAGTAGGCAAAAGAATTAGCAAGTGGAAATTATCAAGACTGAAGAACAGAAAGAAAAAAGATTGAAAAAAGCAGAGACTAAGGGACCTGTGGAACACCATCAAATGGACCAACATATGCATTGTGGGAGTCCCAGGAGCAAAAGAGAAAGAAAGGGGCAGAATATTTGCAGAAATAATGGCTAAAACTTCCTAAGTTTGATGAAAGACATGAATATAAATATCCAAGAAGCTCAACTGAGGTGAAGTCAAGAGACCCACACCAAGACACATTACAGGTAACCCCTGCTTTTCAAAAGTTCACCTTATGTCCCTTCACTTTTACAAAAGACCTACATTGATACCTGTTTTCACTAACTGAAAGAAATCAGCAGAGGATTTTTGCTTTTACAAAAAAAAAAGCTGAAAAGCAAAACTAGTGTTCAGGGCTTCCCTGGTGGCACAGTGGTTAAGAATCCACCTGCCAATGCAGGGGACACAGCTTCAAGCCCTGGTCCAGGAAGATCCCACATGCTGCAGAGCAAATAAGCCCGTGAACCACAACTGCTGAGCCTGCGCTCTAGAGCCCGCATGCCACAACTACTGAAGCTCATGTGCCTAGAGCCCGTGCTCCGCAACAAGAGAAGCCACTGTAGTGAGAAGCCTGCGCACCATAACCAAGAGTAGCCCCTGCTCACCGCAACTAGAGGAAGCCTGCGTGCAGCAACGAAGACCCAATGCAGCCAAAAATAAAAATAAATAAAATAAATAAATTTAAATCTCCAGCCCAATTTTCTAAAAAAAAAAAAAAGTGTTCAGCCTTTGCATCAGGCCACCATAACTCTGAACTGTGTCTGTGAGCATCTGTGCTTTACCTTGATTTATTTTGTGCATTCGTTAGCAAGATGTGTCCTAAGGTATTTGCTTCTTTGCTTTATACCATTTCAGTTTATGAAAGGATTCATAGGAACTCTCTTTCAGATAGTGAGGGAAACCCGTATATTCAAAATTTCAAAAGACAAAGAATCTCGAAAGCAGCAAGAGAGAAGAGTGTCATCCCACACCAGGGATCTCAGTAAGATTTTCAGCAGACGTCTCATCAGAAACTTTGGAGGCCAGTAGACCCTGGGCCACTATATTCTAAGTGCTAAAAGAAAAAAGTCATTAACTGAGAATCCTATATCTGGCAAAACTGTCCTTCAAGAGTAAGGAAGAAATCAAGACATTCTCATATAAACAAAAGCTGAGGGAACTCAAGACCATTAGACCTTCCTTTCAAGAAATGCTCAACAGAGTCCTGTAGGGTGAAATGATAAGACACTAGACAGTAACTCAAAGCCATATGGAGAAATAAAGATCTCAATAAAGATAAATAGATCGGCAATTATGAAAGCTAATATTATTATAACAATGGTTTGTAATTGTACTTTTTGTTTTCTGCATGACTTAACAAACATATATTTAAAGAAAAAAAGAACTATTAATACAGAAGCTAGTTTTACTGTAACTTTGGTTTGTAATTCCAAATCTTGTTTTCTATATAACTTGAGAGACTTAAGCATTTAAAAGAATTATTAGTCTGTTTTGGGGCAGACAATATATAAAGATGTAATTCTGTGACCCCATGAACTAAAAGGGATGGGGACAGAGCTGTATAGGAGCAGAGGTTTTGTGTGTTACTGAAGTTAAGCAGGTATTAATCCAAATTATAGCGTTAATAAAGTTAGGATCTTAAATATAATCCCTATGGTAACCACAAAGAAAATAGCTATAGGATATAAACAAAAAGTAAATGAGAAAGGAATTTAAATATTTCACTATAAAAAATCAACTAAACACAAAACAGGACAGGAATGCAGAAAATGAGGAACAAAATGCTATAAGGTATATAGAAAACAAATAGCACAATGACAGAAATAAGTCCTTTCTTATCAGTAATTACTTTCAATGTAAATGGATTAAACTCTCTAATCAAAAGACAGATATTTGCAGAACAGATAAACACATGATCCAACTACATGCTGTATACAAGAGACTCCTTGAGATGCAAAGTCATAAACAGATTGAAAGTGAAAGGATATTAAAAGATATTCCACGCAGAGAGTAACCAAAAGTGAGCTGGGGTGGCTACCAATTGATTAGAAATCAATAACAGAAGTAAAGCTCTGACAGCAGAAATGATCTCTGTTGTCCTTCTTATGTTTCCAAAATGTGAATCAGATCCTGAGACATTCTCCTTTTTTTTTTTTTTTTTTTTTTTTCCTTGCGTTATGCGGGCCTCTCACTGTTGTGGCCTCTCCCATTTGCGGAGCACAGGCTCCGGACGCGCAGGCTCAGTGGCCATGGCTCACGGGCCCAGCCGCTCCGCGGCATGTGGGATCCTCCCGAAACGGGGCACGAACCCGCGTCTCCTGCATCGGCAGGCGGACTCTCAAGCACTGCGCCACCAGGGAAGCCCGACATTCTCCTTTTAAACCCTGTCCCCAAATATTCCTAGGCAGAGGAGCAGTGGCATATATAGTATTAACATTGAAGCTGGAATATATTTTTTGAAATTTAAATAAAGCTTGATTTAAACCTAAGGATAAAATGTCTTGATACACATCAAGAAGAAAGAGTTTTTATATTTTATTTTCAAAAAGGAGAATGTAAAAGGAGGGTACACTTGAGAATTTTGGTATGATTTGACACACAGAATACATAATTTTTACATGCTTTTAAAATAAAGCCCAAGATCTACTTCTTGAATTTTTTGCTCTTAAAATTTTTTATTGAATACAAGTCTTTTGTCCAATTAAAAAAAAATTTAAATAAAGCCTGAGACTCTAACTGCAAAATTCTGTGGAAAATACCATGATGGCATTTGTATTACAAATCTGAGAGATTATTTATATTGTGTTTTATGCATGAATTTGAATGAATGTTAAAAACTGTTTTTTCCTTTTCCTTGCTGTTTATGTAGCAAGTTTATCTTGCAAAGATTCTCCTATAACAATCCTTCCAGTATCCCCCTACGGACCTCCAATCTTAATATACCTCTCCAAAAAAATAAACACTTCATCTTTGAATGCAGTGTTTGTCACAAATGACAAAGAGTTTTCTGTTAGAAATTCAAAACCTAAGTTTTTTTTATAACAGAGTTGATTTCAGTGTGGTTCATTCCGTTTCTTTAGACCCTCCGAAGTTCTTGCCCATATCCTCCACACCCCAGCCAGAACGACGGCAGCCACCCCAGAGGCGACATTCCATTGAAAAGGAAACACCCACTAACGTGAGACAGTTCCTGCCAGCGTCCAGGCAGAGCTCCCGGTCTCTCGTAAGTAACCGACAGACTCTGCAGAGTAACTTGCGAGAAGTTAGAGGGTCTGGAATCATTAGCTTCCTTGAGAAGCTTCCAAAAGCTAGAGTGAACTTTAAATAACCTTACTGGGTTTTAGTAGCTAAAGAAAACCAAACCTAAGAGTAACCCAAATGAAGTCTGACCATTCTTTGTTCATTTAAAGTAGCTAAAGAAAACCAAACCTAAGAGTAACCCAAATGACGTCTGACCATTCTTTGTTCATTTAAAGTACTTTTTTTTTTCCTGGAAGACTTATTAATGGTTGAAAGTATGGATATTTATTAAAGAAATACTTTCTTCCTTTCAAAGGGCATTAATCCACTTAAAAATTGTTGAAACTAAACAGAAAACTTAGTGAAGTCTGACTACAGTAGACTTTTATTGAGGCAGAAGTCCAAGGGGAGAATTTTGATCCATGAAAAACCATTGTTCATTGTTTTCAAGCATGTTTTGTGATATTGGAGCCAAAGCAGCTATTTGGAAGGGTTGACAGTTTTTGCTGTTTTCCATAGACTTCCAGGCTCATGTAGGGGCTACTCATTTCTCAGACAGGGGATGTGGCACACAAGCCCCTTCCAGGAAGAGCTAACAGGTCTGCCAGCCAGAGAAAGCCTGCGAAGACTCTTTCTGTCGCACTTGACTTCTGAAATACTTGCAGGCAAGATGCAGGGCTTCAGTCAATAATTCTACCAGCAGCCAAGCTGATGCCTAATCATTCTTCAGATTCTCATGAATAAAACACTGGACTACACTCAGTCCATACTTTTAGGCTGTGATGAATCATCAGGGGTTCAAATGAAGCAATGATAGAGGTCCCTCTGTCCAGGTGAAGGGAGATAGTATGGATCTTGTGAAGAAACGAAGTTTGAACCACGCTGATAGTGTTGAAATTTGATCAGTCTTCTCTATTCCCAAATAATGTGATTAAAGAACTAATGATTTCATGGCAACTCCTGTTAGGATTCCTCTAACTCCTAATCAATCACCACACACTGATATATGGTGAAGTACAGCCTCATCAGTGGTTTACCAACTGAAAAACAGAACTCTTACCCGACAGGTTCAAAGTTTAAAATCCAAAGACTTTTGTCAATAAGTTATTTAGCAAAATACACAGTTATTGTCACAACTGGAAAATATTGTCACAACTGAAAAAGAGAGAACTTTTTTTTTTCACAAGTCCAACGATTAGGAGATCCTTTTCTTCACAGCTTTTCCTAGAAGTCAGTTTAGCATTCAGCTGTGTACCTGGCCTTGAAATCATATGACATCATTGTTGAGGTTAGACTTAAATTTTAAAATTATCAGTGTAAAGAAACTGTCAGATCGGGCTTCCCTGGTGGCTCAGTGGTTGAGAGTCCGCCTGCTGATGGAGGGGACACGGGTTCGTGCCCCAGTCCGGGAAGATCCCACATGCCGCGGAGTGGTTGGGCCCGTGAGCCATGGCCACTGAGCCTGTGCGTCCGGAGCCTGTGCTCTGTAACGGGAGAGCCCACATCAGTGAGAGGCCCACGTAACGCAAAAAAAATAAAAAAGAAACTGTCAGATCAACTACAAGGATTTTTTGGCTAGTGATGGAAGCTTTACCAAGAAAGGCCCATGAGGTATATTTCCTGGTGAAAGGGAACTCAGTGTGTGTGTGGTCCGGCTGTCAGTTGTTTTTTGTGGAGAAGGAGAGGAAGATACAACCCACATGCCATGGCGGAGAAGGGGCTCTCACTGAGCAGGCAGGGGAGACCTGTGGTCAGCACAGAACTCTGCCCCCGAAGTGCCTCTAGACACCAGCTGAGACAAAAGAACCTCCAGGTCAAAGTCCTGACTTTTCTTGCCAGTAGCTTATCTTGGGAAATCCATAAAATCACACTCCTTTAATGGTAGTGCTGTCTAGCTTGGTAAGTATTGGTTTTAAAAGTATGATAATTTAAAATTTTAGCTGTGTTTTAGAAAACATGGAATCGTTTTGTATTTATAAGCTCTCAACTAAAAATGGCAGAAATGTCTTTGTTGTTATTGATTTTCATTTTTATTGTATCTTCCTCCCTTTCCTTAGGATGTTGAAAGTGTAATTCTTTTCATCATTTGGTCAGATGATTGTGGATGACGCCTCTAAATGAAGGCGACTTGTTTTTAAGTACCGACCGTGGGAGGGGCGGCTGCGTGGTGTATGTTTCTGCATTCGCCTCTGGCCTGCATCCCTCCGAGCCCCGTGCAGGAGACTCAGTGTTCACAGGACAGCCGAGTTCCAGAAAGCTTAAGTGTTGCCATGTGAACTCTGAGGTTCTCTAGGCATGGTTGGGCTCCTGACTGATACATGTGGATGCAGACGATGGCATGGACTTGCATGTGGAATCTACCATTAACATCCTCCGTGGTGTTTCTGTTTTGTTTATTTTTGTTTCATGCTCTGTAATCGCTATTTGTAGGTCACTCATATTCAGCATTATTTTCTCCTTTTCTTTTTCCCCTGCCGTTTTCTTTTCCTTTATCTATTGTTCAGGTTCCTAGGATAACCAGAGTATGGCCAACGACACCTTTCCGACCGCTTTTTTCTACCCTTCAAACAGCTTCTCTGCTCGGCTCTCACCCTTTGGAGGCAGCCTTGTTGGGGGTAGCAGGGGCTATGTATTATCTGTGTGAGAGAGCTTTTACCAGCAGGTGGAAATCCGCAAAGGTTGGCCTCTTTCTGCTGGTTCTGGGAATTATTTTCCTCTCTGCCTCTTTGGCAGTGATCCCTCAGCTACCGCACTCTGCAAAAATTAACAGCTTAGATGGACACTTTGCTTCTGGTGATTCCAATCTTTGGTAGATGCGTAGATCACACCATGATCTCAATTGACGGGACGACAGTGAAAGGACAACAAACTCAGAATGCAGCGGCATCAGCACAGAGGAACTGTGGGCGGTGCTTCTGAGCCCCCTGATTGAACCACGTCCCCCCACCCCCCACCCCCCAATCAGGGCCTTCCCCCAGTCCAGGGCCCCCCCACCCTCAGAAGAGCCATTGCCCATACACTCAGCTGCCTGGCCAGGGAGGCTCGGGCACTCTTTCTCTTCTCCAGCACCTTTAAAGCTGTGTTGTGATGGTCAGGATATTACGTGGTGGTTATGAAAAAACACCGTGCTTCTCTGTAGAAAGAAATTTGAATTTTTTTTTAATTGATGTGATTATTTAAAATATTTTAAATAATTCTCATTTTGTATTGTTTTTGAGATTTCCATACAGAATACATTTTTTAAAGGAAGTATAATTGTTTCCAAACTTAAGTGGGATAAAAAGCCTTGGACCACATTGAGGTTTCCCCTGCCTGCAGTGTGACCCGAGCTGCTGACCTGCTGACCAGGTGCCGGCAGCCGCCCAGCCCGGCTCTCCGCCGTCCTCTGTTTACCAGACCTGTCCTGGATAAGCGAACCAGCAGCTGGTTTCTTTTTTTTATGACCCATCTTGGTTTAGAAAAGAGACTGAATGTAAATGAGGTACAACAGATTCCTTTCTCTTTATTTGCCATGAAATACAGGATAAATCTCTTCTTTTTTTCATTTTAGATCTGGCCCTGTGAGCACATGGTCAGATGTGGAGGTGGCATTTAATCCTGTCCCTCCTGCTGCTGTTTCTGAAGATCTGCTGACATTTTATTTTTATTTTCAACCCTCCCCAAACAGTCTGTCTACTAAGTCTACATGTGACTTTAGACAGAGAACACCTTGAAATTTAAAGGTGAACTTGAAAAAAGAAAAGAGTAATTAAACTTAATATTTGCTATTTTTATTTAAATCTGCCTTCCTTTGGTTTATTAAAAACAAAAACCAATGGTTGTTTTGGATAATTGTCAAATATCTGCTACTTATTTATGAAGTTTTTGCTAACCAAGAACACTCTATAAAATATGGCCATTTCCACTTCTCTGGCTCAGTAACCAGATTATACACCATGCTGTCTGATTTCTGTGCTCCCTAACTCTGACCCCTTTTGAATGGTGAATATAACCAGAATATTTAACAAAAATTCAGCCATTTTAGTGACGTACGTCACAGTGAGTTCTAAAGGCACATCTGCTCCTACAGTATATTGTAATCTCTATTAAAACTCTTTAAGATTTAGCTTCCCTTTCCTAAATTTGGAAGCCATACTGAAGCTCAGAGCAGCCAGAGAATCAGAGTTGTGCTGCTCTGGTCCCTGGAGTCCCTGCCATGAACTGAGGTCAGTGCCTGCTGCAGGTGTGACCTGGCCCATCGTAACAATGGGGACTAGGGCTCGGCTCATGGGTAGAACCCTGAGTGCTCTTCACATTTTGGGGCATCAGCATCTCAGCAAGATCAGTTAAGGTTTAATTTGGCTTTGGGGATGTTGAATTAATATTTTTTGTCAGTTGAAAAAAATAATGAAAGCTATTCTAGTAACTATTATTTTCTTTCATGTTGCATTAAAGTTTTGTTGTCCTTGGGAAAGCACCAGAATTAAAACATTAGCATTTGACCTGATGGAAGGTATTTTACTAAAGGGTAATCTGCTTGAAATTTTAAAAAAGAACAAGAACACAGAAAAATCCACTATTTATTACATCTGATGGAACACTGGATTTGTGCATGGGTCAAAGCAGTAAGTCGGAAGTGTGCTTGACTGGCCCCTTTATGACTTGAGACTGAGGACTGGGAGCTGCGGGCTGTCTGGGTTGCTGTGTGTGGAGCATCTCCGCCACCCAGGCGTCGCAGCTGTGACGTTGGCACCATCACCATCTTCCTAATACACGACAGCCAATCTCAGGGAGTGGTCTTCTGCTTGTTTGCTAGATTCATACGTTATTTTACTCCAGCTCAGCAATATTGTCACATAGGTAACTGTCAGAAAATGTACGATAGTCATGCTTGTTGCTGATGAATAAAGATGACCATAGGGATACTTCTTATGAACTATGTGAGAAGCTGAGAAAAGTCGCTGTTCAGACGTGTGCAGCTGACCCTACTATCTGTGCACAGTTGTGATGCCCAGCGTTCGGAGGCAAGCCCGTTCCCACACTGTTCTCAGGGTCAAGTGAAGCTCAGGAAATATTGGACATACCAACTTTTAAAGCTCTTCCCGTTGAAAGAAAATTGGGTAATGGTGGGTTTTTTTGAGTATATCAGACATTCTAGAGCACATGAATTATCCTCCCACCCTCCAGATACTAAGCTCTTCATCTTAAACGTTCAATTGCAGGATCTTTTCCAAAACACTTTAACAAATTTAATCTTCCCTAAGTTAGCCTGAACAGAGATGATTTTGTATTGATTATTTGTAAGAAGCAGTAGTTCTGCAAACTACTCTTTTTTTTTAGTAAATGCTAATGTTTTTCAAGTTTGCAACCTAGATTTATTTTTGTTTTTCTCTGATTGAAAGACAGAACTAAATGTTAAAACTCCATAAACTGACTGCACTCATAGTCCTGTGCTGTCTCCTTTGGCTTGTTTGATTCCAGAATGCCTGTGAGCAGCACTATTGTGTGTGTGGGCGTGAGTTACAGTGTGTGTGCACCGAGGACATCGGGGTTGTGTCGCTCCGCCACAATGGCCCTTGTGAAGTCCAGAAGGGTGCGGGCGCACAAAACCGTTCTGTCTTTCTACTGGGCCCACCAATCAAGCGCAGGGCCGGCTGGGGAGCAGATGGTGTGAGGCTCTTTATTCAGTGGGATCAGTTACATCAACATCTTCCTCCACTGTTGTTAGGGAACCATTAACATAAGACAGCCAACTTTGATATTTATCGTCAGAGTTCTCTGAGTGTCTCCACATCTGTCCAGTGCGGACTGTGCTTCCGCAGTTGTTTAAAAGTGATGAGAGATCTGGAGAGTGTGGGGCAGCCTGACGGAAGTGCCTGCTGGCTTCCAGGTCTAGTTCCACTCACACTGTTAGGAGTTTTTAGGCTGTGCTGATGTAACTTACCACTAAATAACGCTTCTCAATATCGATTACTAACCACCTTCTTTTGGCTATTCTGGGTACCACAAATCAGTTTTTAAAACAGTACCAATGTTGTAGATTTGCTATTTATCTATTAGCAGATATATACAACACAAAAGTAAATAATATCTTTGTGTAATCATAGGAGAAAACTGACAGAAATTTGGTTTAGAACAATAACATTTTTTTCCCAAGATTTCAATGCATAGATAAGTAGCTCCACTTCATGGAATAGAGATACCTGAGGCAAAACATCTAAACAAATGTGAGGAAATTTTATTAATTGGAAATTTCAGTGGCTACAGTGTTTCACATGGTCCCTGGAAGTTTTCTGCCATCTCTTGTCTCAGTGTAATTAGAAACTGTGTGGTCCCCAGAGTGAGCCAGCTCTGCTCCAGTGTTTACTGGGAAACCTCTTTTCTTCTCTGAAGCTACTAACCAGGTGACTGATCTGAAGGGGAACTTTGCCTTGCCAGAAGGGTGGTGGGAGCTTCTTATTCATGTGGAATTTTGAATTTCAGGAGGAATTCTGCTACCCAGTGGAATGCCTAGCACTTACTGTGGAGGAGGTGATGCATATTCGTCAGGTCCTGGTGAAGGCAGAGCTGGAAAAATACCAACAGTATAAAGATGTCTACACTGCTCTGAAAAAAGGAAAGGTAGAGCCACTTACAGTTGATGGATCAGCAGGGTTAGAAGATTGGTCGGTCACAGGCATGTCCCCTGAGGACACTGTCTGGTGGCCAGATGGCATAGGACTTTGGGGGGATTCTAGGAGGTAAGAGGCTTACCCCGTGGCAGACAGTCCCTCTTCTGCCTTGCTCACAAAAGTGAGTATTTTTATTTCTCCCTGAGAAATTGAAAAACGGAAGGTTAAAACCACCATAATAAATAATGGTATGCCTTCATAAAACAAGGTCTGCCCTTAGTTGTTACACTTTTAAAGGACTGTAGAGAAAATGTATCTGAGAAACAGAGAAGACTTTTTCAGAACCTTCTTCAGGTTGCTTCCATGGTGGCAAGACCCTTGAGAACCGTGGTCTTTTATTACAATTTAAAGGTAGAATTATAATCAAATACAGAGCAGATTATAATTATCACAGAACCAAACTTAATAAAAAGGGTCTCTAAATGCTCTTCTCCCTTTGTCTACTAAACTTTCCACATATAAATGTGTCCAAACATGCAAATGAGGAAATTAACTATTGGCAATGCCTTTTTCTCCTTTAAAATTTTTATTTTTTAGCTCTGCTTTTGTTGCCGAACCAGGAGATTTTCCTTCTTCACTTGGTCTTATACCTGTCAGTTCTGTAAGAGGTAAGGCTTTTGTAATTGATGACAGCAGTCAAGGATCTACTGTTCCCATCATTTTTCTCTGAGGAACAATATTAGAAATAATCCAGTCTGTTATCATGTGCTATGCTTGTAAGTTAGTAATAGTGATTGCTTCAAGAGTGGACAATTATTTGATATTAAGCCTGGAAAGTTTCTCTGCATGTATTTCTTTTCATATTCAAGATAGGTCTAATAATATGTCATGTTGAACAGAAAAAAATAGATGTGACTGTCACGTGATCCCAGGATAGACAAGTAAGAAAATCCCAAACAGACGTAAGTTGATCCTTTCATAGGACACAGTGTAAGAGTTAAGTTTTACAGTGTGATTGTCTTTTTGGCAATCCAGTTGTCTCAGTTTGTTACGTTCTGATAGAAGAAGCAGAGAGTCCAGGGGACTTACTGTAGAAATTCACAGCCACGCAGCCTGCGGCTTCTCTAACTCTGCAGTTGCGTTCATGGTTATCACGCTGAGTAACACTTCTGATTTTGTGTACAGGCCGGTGTGCTCACAGTGTTGCAAAAAGGTAAGCTAAGCTTAGTGAAATCACAACTTGTGCTAATTTTATTGACTCTGCCTCTTTAACAGTACTGCTCATTCTCGGTTTTATTTGGGATACTAGATGCGGCTGCCCTCCAAGCCATACTCCACCCTTCCTATCTTTTCATTGGGACCTTCTGCCTTGCAGAGAGGGGAAAGTTGTATGAGGCCAGAAAAACCCTCCACTGGCCATCATCGGCCACTTCGGAGCATTGCCAGGTGAGCAAGGGGCCGGGTGTCCAGAGCATCCTTTGCGGAAGGCGAGAGCTCTTTTGAGGACTGTGGTGATATGGTGGGGTTTTGGCTTGCAGGGGTTTGGGTGGGTGGGTGGCTTGGTTTTAATATAGTTTTGACTTGTACACAAATCTCCAAAACTTGCCAAAGGTCACATGACAAGGGATGATGGCTAGCTCCCTGAAAGATACTTAATCTCTCAGTTTAATTTTTTTTTCTACTTTGGAAGTAATTACTTTTGTGTGTCCTTTAAAAGTCATCTTTAAAACTGACCTTGTTTTCAATGGAGTTGAAAACTTGAACATAACAGTCTAATCTTTCCTTCTTTAGTTTTGAAAAAAATCTTTTTAATCTTGTGTTTACAGTAGTCTGTGATAACTTTGGCTTACTTTCCTATTGTAAAGGCAGAAATAAAGCTTTATGCCAAGAGCTGACAATTTGAAAGAAAAAAGGTGCCTGAATACCAATCCCTTTGCATTTAATGCAGAGTAAGGTTAGTGTTGGTCCTTAAGAAAGACAGGAGGTCAGACCACACGCTGGCAGGGCCCAGGGTGTTGGGGTTTTATGTACCAGCGGCCTCCTATTTGGGAGGGACACTGGTGTTGGTGCCAGATGCTGGACAGTGGCCATTCTGCATGTCAGGGTCTGTGGACAGTGAGGTGAGGGAGCTGAGAGCCCAGCAGTAACCTGTACCCGAGGTTCCTGCCCCTGTGCTCAGTCCCTGTCCTGACCTCTGAGTATGGGCTGCTGTCCACGGGCTCAGGGCAGGCGAACTACGGTCTGTTCTTTCCTGCACTAGCTCTACATTCCTGTTTGGTTTAATTAAAATAGTGAATGAGTAGATGGTTCCTAGTTATTTCCAAAAACTACCCACAACATTTATGATGATGTTGGTCTAGTTAACTCCAGCTCTCTGGAATCCAAATAGTCAGTCACCTGGATATAGAGAATTGTTGTGGAGCGGGAAGTACATTTGATAAATACGAAATGACAAGAAAGCTGGTCCAAAGGTAATTTTTCAGGATTTGTCATAGGATTAAAATAAATTTACTTCAGTTTCTTATAGTCTGACCTACCACCTACAGTTAACTAATGTTCATTAACCATGACACAGGGTCACTGGAGAAAGAACTTGAAGTTCTCTCTGAATCATCAGCGAGATTAGCAACATGTACTTCATTTCATTTCGGTTGTTAAAGTTCATGATCTATCTACGTATAGTAGTCAGGTGAATACTCTGAATATCCTATTTTCCAAAAATTCTAGAAGGGATACTAAGAGCTTTTAGTAGTAGTATTTTTTTTTAATATAACGTTATTTATTTATTTTTATTTTTGGCTGCGTTGGGTCTTCGTTGCTGCGTGTGGTCTTTCTCTAGTTGCAGCGAGTGGGGGCTACTCTTCGTTGTGGTGCGCGGGCTTCTCACTGCAATGGCTTCTCTTGTTGCGGAGCACGGGCTTTAGGTGCACAGGCTTCAGTAGTTGTGGCACACGGTCTCAGTAGTTGTGGCTCACAGGCTCTAGAGCACAGGCTCAGTAGTTGTGGCACATGGGCTTAGTTTCTCCGCGGCATGTGAGATCTTCCCAGACCAGAGCTCAAATCCATGTCCCCTGCATTGGCAGGTGGATTCTTAACCACTGTGCCACCAGGGAACTCCCGTATTATTATTTCTTAATAAAAGGTTTCCTGGTTTCTTTCTTTAAAAATATTTTGTTTCTTTTCTTTTTAAAATAATTTGACACATCTATTTTTTTAATTTTTGGCTGCGTTGGATCTTCATTGCTGCGTGTGGGCTTTCTCTAGTTGTGGTCCGCAGGAGCTACTCTTCATTGCAGTGCGCAGGCTTCTCATTGCGGTGGCTTCTCGTTGCGGAGCACAGGCTCTAGGCACGCAGGCTTCAGTAGTTGCAGCACACGGGTCAGTTGTCATGGCACATGGGCTTCAGTAGTTGTGGCGCACGGGCTTAGTTGCTCCACAGCATGTGGGATCTTCCCGTACCAGGAATCGAACCCGTGTCCCCTGCATTGGCAGGTGGATTCTTAACCACTGCGCCACAGAGAAGTCCCCAAAAATATTTGGAAAGTTGTTGCCAATTATAACTTCTTCTTTGGACAACACTGACATGACTAAATCACCCACCCATTCCATCATGTTTTGCCAACAGATTTACTTTTTTTGCACATATTTTCTTAGTATTGCAGTAGAACTATAAGTAACAATAATGGATGTTGTAAATGTTTTGGTTTTTTCCAGATTGTCCTCAAAATCCAAGTCTGTGGACAAATCAGATGAAGAACTCCAATTTCCCAAAGAGTTGATGGAGGACTGGAGCACCATGGAGGTGTGTGTAGACTGCAAAAAGTTCATTTCAGAAATCATCAACTCAAGCCGGCATAGCCTGGTGCTGGCCAACAAAAGAGCCAGATTGAAAAGGAAAACGCAGTCTTTCTACGTGTCCTCGGCAGGCCCTTCGGAGTACTGCCCTTCAGAGAGGACCATCAGTGAGGTCTGAGCCCCCTGCATTTGTGTGCAGTCGCATTCGCGAGAGAACACTGAGCTGGGCTGTCTTCTCGCCGCAGTTAACTGGTTCGGGTTTGCATGAGATCAGGGTTTTGCTGTATCACACTGTTCCACAGACTGAACACTGTGTTCATATCAGCCAGTCCCTTGTCTGCACTGAGAGAGGACAGTAGTTTGAAACTAGCTTCTGTGTGTGTGGTGATTTGGAGGCCAGAAACTTTTTCCTTAGTTCAGTTCTTTACTGTCCCTCAAATAATTTTCTGACTGAGACAGAAAGCTTCTGGTGTGAGAAATCGGTCTAACACAGGCGTCGAAGTCAGCACAGTCTAAGAAGTAGGTCATATTGGCATTTCCACCCGACGGTGTTCCTGCCTGATGCACACAGATCCCTGGAGGCTGGGCCAGGCTGTTACCATCTCACAGCACAGGACCTACAAGGATTTGCTCATGCTCTCAAACTGGTTTTAAATTATTGTTGCTCTGAGATAAAGACTCGGGAGGGACTTTACTCCGTGCTCCAGTACAAAGCATCTGAATAAGTTGTACGCTCAAGTGGGCGCCCACGTCCCCCATGCTGTGTCTGTGCCCGGGCAGTGGGGTGGTGTCTCTTGAGGCAGGTGCAGGGCTTTCCTTATCTTGAATGTATTATGGTTACTAGTAGTTTTATATTGGAGGTCTAAGATTTAAAGTTTTGTGGTGTTTGGGGACAAGGGCAGGCTAGAAGTTTGTCCAGAAGTTGAGTATTTTGGCCAATAGGAGAAGGGCTGTGAGTGCGTCGGCCATGCCGCAGGGAACGAGCTGGAGCACTCACATTTCCAACCGCGGTTTTCATAACTTTAGTCTCGCCATCACGACTAAATTAAGCCACAATTTGGTATCTGAGGTCTCAAACTGAAATTTATTTTTATAAATGAATTTTAAAAGCAAAAACATGGTCTAGTTCATTTAAAATTAACCTGCTGATAGGCTTTGTGGATGCTTTTTGCACACGTTCTCCTTGCAAGTGACTTGAGTAGGACGGGTTTTGATGAAGCCAGGTTGAGGCGGCACCATACACCTGTCATTTCTCGACTTGTGTGGCCCATTCCGTGGCCATCTTTATGATTTTGGTTCACTTGGCAGACCAGCCAGTCAAGTTGCCAGTCATGTTTGGAAGCTGGGTTAATGCACACGCACAGCAGTTTCTGAACACTCTCTAGGACACATCTGTAGCCAGCGCCATGACAGCACCGCTCACCAAAAGGCAGGGCAGTCACACTTCACACCACCTCACAATACAGGAACATTTCTATAGCAAATTAACAGTAATACCTCAGAACTGCCCTGGTAGTGGTTTTACATGACTGAAATTTATAAATTAGTAAATGGCTTGAAATTACTTACAATTACAAAATAAACTTTACCAATTGACTGAAGTAATGCATGTTAACAGTTTGTCTGTATTTGCATGTAAAAGTGGGCCACCAGAGAACCCTTACTGATTATGGAAACGTTTAAAATTTTAAAGACTCTCACGTAAGAGCTTTAAACAAATTTTGGTGTGGGCTTCCCTGGTGGCGCAGTGGTTGAGAGTCCACCTGCCGATGCAGGGGACACGGGTTTATGCCCCGGTCCGGGAAGATCCCACATGCCACGGAGCAGCTGGGCCCGTGAGCCATGGCCGCTGAGCCTGCACGTCCAGAGCCTGTGCTCCGCAGCGGGAGAGGCCACAGCAGTGAGAGGCCCGCGTACCGCAAAAAAAAAAAAAAAATTTTGGTGTGAGCAGCTTCTAAACCACCACCAGGAAGGGTGCAAGGGAGATGGGGTGGTGTTTGTATCCATGCACAGACCAGACCTAGGAGAGTGTGCTTTTTAAAATAACGACTTGGGCTTCCCTAGTGGCACAGTGGTTGAGAGTCCACCTGCCGATGCAGGGGACACGGGTTCGTGCCCCGGTCCGGGAAGATCCCACATGCCGCGGAGCGGCTGGGCCCGTGAGCCATGGCCTCTGAGCCTGCGCATCCAGAGCCTGTGCTCCGCAACGGGAGAGGCCACAACAGTGAGAGGCCCGCATACCGCAAAAAAATAAAAATAGAATAAAATAACTAGTTTACAGGTGTTATTAAAAACACAAGAAACTAAACCCCCTAAATGAGAATCCCATCCACATTCACAAGGCACATAAAATCTAGCACATCTAGTCTTTGACTTCACTTCTCCAGGTTTGTGACACTGTGCAGGTTGTCTGGGCATTGTGGGTGCCTCTTAGCAGAGCGTCCACAGCACTGTCCACAGCACTAACAGGCTTTGCCAAGTGTATTGAAGAGGTCAAGTGGGTGGTAGGTCTCCGTAGGACAGTTTGTAGAAAGTAGAGTAGAAAAGGGCACATGGCACAGCTAATACTGTAGAAATCAAATCAGCATCATTATCTGGTGCCAAAACAAATTCTTGCACTTACCCCCTCCCTTATCCATGGCATGTATCCCCAGCACCTCAACCAAATCGGGTAACTTCCAGAGGGTCATTCACTGCCATCCTGTGGGGCGTGGTTTCAGTCCTCAGCCTCGTTTGACCTGAGGCCTAGCTTCCTTCCTCCCTTCCTACTGGATAACACACCTTCCCAGGCCTCCTCTTTGTCCTGGTTGTTGGCACTTACTTCTGGTCTGACAACAACAGCGTCAGTGGCTGGCTGGTCTCCTGGAGCCTGATGTATCCCAGCGAGGGGCTTCACTTTCACCCTCTCCCTCCAGGCTCACACCCTCCCTTGCATCCCCTGCCTCATGAGCTCACCCTTCTCACAGCTGAACTTTCTATCAGTTCAGGATAGATAAGAAAGCTTGTAAATACCGTAATATAGTTATTAATATTTGAAAGGCGTTCATTCAGTGGACAATGAGAATTAACGCTCCCAAGGCAAGTAAAAGTTAAATCAAGTAATTGATTTGTACATCGACTTAACAGTCTCACTAGATTTCAAGTCTTAGGCCTTTGAAATTAAACCAGAAAGTTGTTATGTAGGAGTTTTTAAAATGAACTTACATTTGATGAGATCCCATGAACTCATAAACTCATGTCATGTGATTAGCACCGTGAGCTCATACCATGAATTTTTTAAGGCTTTTATTTTTCTAACTGTATTAATAAATGTTGGACTGATTTTAGGTGTCACATAGGAGACATGAAAGTTTTAAATTATGTTGCTGTTTGCTAAAGCAAAATGGCAGACAATTTTGTACATGCAAAACTGTTGAATGGCCATGGGGAAATGTGTACACGTTGACCTGGCTTCCTGTGTATAAAAGTCAAGGTACTGCTGGCATTCAGTGTGACATGACAGTACTAAACGTTTTCCATTAAAGTCTTTTAAAATTTATCGAGGGGAAAATAAATGACTTTACATCATACCTTCTGTGTGGAGTTCCTGTTGTAAAATGATGATGTCTTTTGGTAACTAGCTGTTGGAAACCACCTAGGTTGGGAAAACAAGATATATTTATATGACATCAGCAGTTTACGATCAGCTTGAGAAATACAATCTACAAGGACCACACTGGAAAAATAAATGAATGTGAGCAGTCACCGTAACTCTGCTGTGTCACCGAGCAGCCTGCCTCCTTTTTCAGCTCAGCAGGGTAGGAAACTAAAATCTATAAATAGTATATATAACAATTATTATATAAGAAGTCACATCTATGGAGACAAATTATGTATAGAAAGATAAAGCTTTTATTTTTTTTCCTAAATCAAATTCCTCAAGGTATATATTCTTAAAATGTCCAGTGGGGCTTCCCTGGTGGCACGGTGGTTGAGAGTCCGCCTGCCGATGCAATTAACTTGCCCTCATGCAGAGATTTTTTTCTCATCTGGAGGTTTCAGATGCCCATCTCTCCCTAGTCCAGCTCTATCCCACTACATCCTTGCACAAATCCACCAAAATGATGCCCCAGCCCACCCCCAAAATCAAAAAGGTACACCAAGTTTACCTGTGAGAAGACCTGTTCCTGAAAAAACAAGATCTTCAATAATCACTTTGCTGTTCACATGAAACTAACACAACATTGTTAATGAACTATACTCCGAGAGGCCCGCGTACTGCAAAAAAAAAAAAAAAAAATGTCCAATGAAGAAAATTTCTTGCTGTAGCTCTTAAAGGGTCGAGAAAAAATTCGGAAGATTAAACCCAGAATGAATTTAGGAAAGTTCTTTTGTCTTTATGTTAACTAAATATAGAGCATCATTAGCCCTTTACGTATCAAACATTACACGATATTGAGTGTGATATTAATTCATTACTTATTTGCCAGATATATTTTAGGCTCTTCTGCTAAAGTTTCTCTGTGACATGTGTGTAACAAGATGTCAGCTCATAATTCTAATGTTTACTGACTTTCTGAATCCGGGTCACAGCTCTTGCCTTGTGCCTCCTGAATTCCAGAGACACAGAGAGGTCAGGTACCAGGAAGGGAAGCTCTGGGTAACCCTTATTTAACTGCAACTTTCTTTTTCCTTCTCAGCTCCTGTTGAGAAGTTGTATAGTTGCAAATCATCAGAGTCTAGAATTTCATAAGGAGAACTCTTCTAGGTAAGGGCTTGATTGCACATATGATGTGTTTCAAGACTCCAGTTACACACACACATACACATACATTCATCAGAATGCACCTTCTTCCTGCATGTCAGCCTAAGGCCCACGTCTAGAAACATCTCCCTTTGCTCATCCAAAAAAATTTAAGAGCTAAGAACCTACTTAATATAAAATTCTGCTTGCGCTAATTAAATGTTCAGGTGCAGGGCTTCCCTGGTGGCGCAGTGCTTGAGAGTCCGCCTGCCGATGCAGGGGACGCGGGTTCGTGCCCCGTTTCGGGAGGATCCCACATGCCGCGGAGCGGCTGGGCCCGTGAGCCATGGCCGCTGAGCCTGCACGTCCGGAGCCTGTGCTCCGCAAATGGGAGAGGCCACGACAGTGAGAGGCCCGCATAACGCAAGAAAAAAAAAAAAAAAAAAAAAAAAATG